AAATTATGTAGTTAGATTTTGAGAGGTTACTTGGTACTTAATTGTTAAATATAACAAGGCATATGGCACATATTACAAGAATATAAGTGGGCAATATTACCCTGCAAAAAGTCCAATAGTTAAAAATGGTAACTAATTTCATAGTCACTAGACTCAACACTGCCCTATTTTGACATGTAGTTAGCAACATCTTTAGTTATTATCTAAAATCATATATGTTAGTACTATATACAGCGCCATAGTCACTAGACTCAACATTGTCCTATTTTGCACCAAGGGGAAGATCGAGTTTGTTCATGATCAACGTGCTTTGAGTCCAGTATACCGGCAAATAATTCCCTATAGTGCTATGTACTACTCCTGAAGAAAGGCTTGACTAACCATGCCGAACATTTTAATGTTGCCCTTGTAAGACGAACAAAATAATTCAGTGTTTCTCCACTGATTCCCTAAAACATGTGTCCATCCTCCCAACTCTCAAATGGAATAAAGAATTTGTCTCCCTTCCCTCTAAAGCTACACACTACAGTCTTCTTAATGAGTTCTCCATATTTGTAAATGTGTTTGAAGATGGATTACAGAATGGAAAGGGCACTGGAAATGTGAGTGTTTAACATGAACACACGGCATGCAGGACAAAACATCTACACAGAGTTTTGGAATCATATCAAAGGTATTCAGCTGGCAGTATGAAAAACCAATAAAGAAATAGCAAAATTAACAGGGTCAGCATTGTGACGATGCATCTTTTTGGCATTGACGTGATCTTATATAAGAATTTCCTATAACACAAACTATAAAGAAATATATTAGAAAATCATTAAAATTAGACTATGTAAATATTATTCAAATGGGCAAATATCTACTAGCATGAATACAAAAACAACAGTGTGCTTTCACAACCATCAAAATCAACGTCAAGGCCCCAGAAAATGTAAATATGTGAATGCCACTGCCCCATACATATACCTCATCAAGCATCTCGAAAGAAGCAAAGTACCTTCTAAACTTTTAGGGGAACAAATTAATTACAGTGAAACAAGCAAATTGCAGCCAAAATACAACACTTGGTTTCTTCTCATATTTTTCAGGCGTGTGGCATGTATAAAACTAGCATTATACTAATATTTAATGCCTCACTTTATGCTGGTTGCAACTTAAAACAGGTTGAGTATTCTGTAAAGCATAATTTTCTTTTTGTTTCACAACAAAAGGCAACAGAAAACTCAATAGAATCTCACCTGTTGATAAGCATGAAAGCATAACCCAGCAAGGAGTGATCTCGTGTAAATTTGTTGAAGATTCAGACCCTGAATTATTCAAGCATAATGAAAAAGTCATCAGCATGAAATGTTACAGCCTTACAGGTTTGCTGTCTGAACGTGTAGCCATACAAATCCACAAAGTGTTCCTAACATTTACTCACCGTAGACTGCACATATGCAGGAGTGAACTTGGCACCTTCCACAAACAGAGTTACAGGGGTCAACAGGAACAATGACATAATTGTTATAACAGAGAAGAGATTTATGTTGTCCAGAGATTCCTGTTTTAAGAATAAATTATCAATAAATTACAAAAAATGTAATAGTTTTTCACTTTTTCTGTATCATATCCCAAAAATCTTAAGAAATTTCATGTAGACTTTAACAAATCAATGGTCAACTCAATCAAATGGTTTGGCTATTAGCCTATTAGCCTGAGTGTCAAAACACAATTATTCCATAATAAATTACCTCTTTCTTAATCATGAGCTTTTTGCTAAGCACATTACGTGATTGGAAAGTCACATTGGAAGCCATTGCACTCCAAAACCCAGCCCTGTTTAGTAGTACGAAGAATCAACTGGGTTAATAGGAAGTTTAACTATATGATTGATGACACACTCCTAGAGAGGAAGAACAGCAACTGTTTCATGCAAACATGCGCCCCTTTTTCTTTTTTTCTTTTTTCTCTTTTTTTTTTCTTTTTTCTAAGAGACAAACATGCGCCCATATTGATCTTCTATTAAATAGATAAGATTAAACGTGACAGATTACTTACCAGTTAAAAGAAGCTTCAGTCATGGATGCCAAAGCCACACCACCAACAATTGGAATGATAGAAAGCACCACCCAAGGAGTAGGCATCTGCACATGCAGTTAATAAGGAACATAGAGGATAACATACTACTAAACAGCAACGTTCATTTTAAAATCAATACGTTCTTTCTCAAAGAACATGATCAGCATCAATGAGGAAATATAAATCTGACTTCACCATTTTACGTCGAACACGTGCATATATTAATATTAGATCGTCTAAGATTTAGATGCATCAGAAAAGAAGAAACATGAAAAAGAAAACATAATCAGGTTTCCCAAGCACATGATGATCATTAGGAAGGAACAAACAGTTTGTGCTGTCTTTGGCCAAAATATCTGACTACATCTGGAAAATGCCTTCTAGATGCATCTAATTATTTGTAAAAGCTATGATGGCCAATAAAAAAAATTATGAACAAACAATCTTTCCGCAGCTCTCAAAACTAAAAACACACCACACTCCTTTATATAGCTTGTGTGCATGATGTTGTTTAAGATCTTATGATCTAATTTGATGGTAAATTGCTTAGATTAAAATATCTGAACATGTTAGATCTTATGATCTAACTTAATAGAGGAGATGGCCCAAAATACAACAGAATGGAAGAATAGGACTCTTGCAGCCGACATATGATATCTGGGATAAAGGCTTTGTTGTTCTTGCTATTGTTGTTTATAGCACATAGAATCTTGTGATGAGTGGTAAAAGCTGCTAGTAGGGAGGTTCGCAAATGAGAACTATTCAATTGCACCAGCTACAACGATTTTGTGACCAAAGAATATAAAGAAAGAAAAATCCTTTTTCTTTTTTTTTTTCCTTTTTTTTTTGCAAAAGTTTATATTGTTTTCTATTTGAACTATTTATTTGATTTGACAAAATAAATTTTGGAAGAGAAACTCACCTCTCCAAGGAACAGGGCAGATAGAAGAACTGAGAAGAAAGGCTCCATAGCTTTAATTGTGTGAGTGAATGAAACAGCAACTTTGCCTAGGCTCATATTAGTGAAAAGGTTTCCCATCGTGTGGACCATGGCCAATGGTAAAATCGCCATAAGCTGCAGAAATGATACTCAAAACTTTCATAGAAGATTATAAACGTGTGGATGTAAACATCCTCATCTTAATGTGTCGTGTACGCAAACTAAACAATTAAACATAGGCATACCTGTGAAGAAGAAATCTTAGGTCTCTTGTGAAGGTTTGTAGTCCACATAAGGAGTACAAAGACTGTCCCGACAGCAAATTGAGCTGTAGTCATGGTCATAGGGTAAGGAAAAACTTTCAGCACCTGTGAAACAAGCAGAAACAGTAAATATTTAAATCTAATTTGCATCATCCTACCACAAAGGGCAAACAGCTAAGTATCATGACAATCTCTCACATATGCTAAAAACAAAAAATGGTGTCAGGATTCAACAGTAAAAACAGCTACTCCTGGACTTTCATATGTGACTACGATTGAATGATCAAGGTTGTTGAAGTGGAATTTCAGGTTCTGCAATAAAAGGTTTATTTATCAAACTGCCAAATTGGACAAGCTTTTTATCAATGGACCAATCTTTAGTAATTCAAATTTTGTAATTTTTGAGACTTTCTGGTCCATTAAAACAAAAGTAAAGGGAAGTCTTCCATTGTAGTAGCTACAAAATACTCTAGAAATTGCAACACGGCTTATTAGTAATCAATTAGCTTCATAGATAGAGGATAGGTAAGCCAAAAGGAATCATATGAAAACTAATGAAATACATACTTTAACAATTATAAACAGTTAATCATGATAATGTAAGAAATCGACAATTCCTGTAAAATAAGATAAATAAATAAATAAAGAGTTTTACAAACTTTCGCAGAGAAAAAAATAAAAAGGTTCCACAACCAAAAGAAGGAAAAAGACATTGAAAGCAAACACACTCATCAAGAAAGATCCATTGCACCCTCAAAAGGGGGCCTTTTTATAAACAAGCCATTCAACTGCATAGATTTTATAATAGATCTATGGGAAAAAGGGAAGAAGTGATGAAAAGGTTGGAGAAAAAAAGTTCTACAGAAAAAAGTGGAAATTTTCAACTGTAAAATATAGTTCTATTTTAAGGATTAGATAGCACCAGCTACATTAACCAGAACAAATCAAGATCAGCAGATGAATAGTTTCTCAATTTAAAACAAAATGCCGCACGATTCTTGAAGCAAAGCCATCACTCACTCAGCGACTGGTTTTATTTTAACAAATTCGAGAAAAATCCTGTCGATATGAGCGAAAACTCAACAGATCTAAGGATTCTACCTGCTTGTTATAGATGTTGAAGTAGATATTGAAGAGATACCACAATCCAAACAGCCCTCCGAGCTGCAGCGTCTGAAGCATCCCGCTCCCGGCCTTCTTCTCGCCGGAGATCTCTCCGGAGCTCCCTCCGCTCGGCGGATTCTGACGATGACATCGCCGATTCGACCGGCGGAGGGAGAGGGGAGGCCGAAAGTGGGGAGAAGAGCGGCGTGGATCGAGACGGGTTCGGTCCCGAACGCAGGAGGGGCAGGAGGTAGGAGGAGCGGAGGAGGAGGATGAGGCGGCTTGATTGGGTGAAATCTAGTTAGGAGTTTAGGGTTTTGGAGAGATCGAGATGAGATCGGAGCTTGCAGTGAGACGGAGCTGAAGGCGAAGAGGGCGTAAGGATGCACGCTCTGCATTTTATTTTTTCTGTTTTTTCTTGTTTTTGCGCTCTTCCGTTCCCTCAAACCCCGAGTGTGGCTTCGGGCCTTTGGCGTATATATGAATTTGGCTTGTTTTGCACGTTGAACCCCAGGTTTTACATATTTTACATATTTATGTTTAGACATAATTTTTTTTTCTCATCTTCGCTTTAGAAGAAAGAAGTTTATGTTCATCTTCGCTTTAGAAGAAAGAAGTTTATGTTCCATGTTAACAATGGGTCATCGCAAATTACTAAAAAGTTATTTATGAATGACTCGGAGTTATTAAATGATTCTGATTTCTCTTGCTCGTTACCTTGATATAGTTTATTTACTTTTTCTTGTTTTGTGCATATGGCAATGATTTTTTTATGTTATTTATAAGTATCTCAGATTTGTGCTCGGTTTAAGGATAAACGTTTCTTTTATATGCTTATGTTTTAAGATTAAAAAAGTATGTTTTGATCTATATTTCATGAATAATATCTGTTTCTAAGATGGTAAACAATATATATATGATGAGCTCAAATTACTCACAGAGGTAACATAAGGAACTCAAATTCTAGATTCGAACTAATCTTATCGGCTGTGCAATTAAATTAAAAGAAACGGACTAGATGTTAGTGCTTTGTGAGAGAGATCAACGAGAGTTTGTTTGTTTTCTGAACATTTTCTACCTTATCATGAAGAGGAATTAAAGAGTCCTAAACTGTAAATTGACCTGAAATGTGTCTTCATCGTTTGTGGGTTGGTGAGGTAGGTGAAAGTGGTAGGCGATATTAGTCGCCTAATTCAGTCTTTAGAGCACGTGCTTGTTGCAACATCAAATTGTGTGTCAAATGGGTATCAAAATCGCGAACCCATCCACATTTTATAGATAACAGTCAACAGAACACTCGTGTTGGTGCGCTCACCAGCATAGGAGTGAAGTTTTCTGAACGCTGCTAGGATTTTGGACAGAAGCTCCCTTCAATTAGTAGCCGAACTCTTTGTTGATGGTATTCGGGTATTATATATATATATATATTAATAATATATATATATAGTATATATATATATATATATATATATATTACTTATATATATATATATATATATATATAAATAATATATAATATTATATGATATATATGAGAAAAATGGGGTATACTTGGTACCCAACCACATGAGGAATTTTGTGGCTTGGTAGTGAGGTGTCTCATTCCTCCATACCATCATTCAATTGGGCGGACCACATTCAACCCATGTGAATGTGGTCCCGCCATTGTGAATGAGTGGAGGATAATATGCACCTCACTACCAAGCACAAATTTTGTGGGCTTGGTACAGCAAGCCATACCCATATTCCTCTCTCTCTATATAGTATATATATATATATATATATATGATATATATATATATATATATATATATTATAATATATTATACTATATATATTGAGCGAATATCAGGTAACTTGGGCCCAAGGATCCTTGGTAGTGATATGTATAGTATACTAGAGAGGAATATGGGTATACTTGGGCGCAAGGATATTGGTAGTGATGTGGACACATTTTGTCACTAATCACACCTTGGAGTTGGTGAGGCTCGCAATCTTCTACGGTGTGATGTAATGGACAAAGATGTGTCGAATCACTAACAGGATCCATTGGTACGCAAGTATACTCATTTTTCTCATATATATAATATATTAATATATATATTATATATATATATATATATATATAATATATATATATATAATATACTATATATATATATAGGAGAGAGAAGAGAGAGACGAGAGAGAGAGAAGCCCATCTTTATTATATATTATTATGGTAATTCATCTCATACAGAGTTAAAGATGTCGGAAGAATGTCTGCATAGGCCCAAGAAAGCTATGGTTCAAACCAACTTTGAGGCTCAAAAGCCTAGCTAAGGTCAAGTCTCTCGGCCAGACGAGCAGATAAGCCATCTTTCGATCAAGGGTCATCATGACCGACTCGAAGTGCGGGATCAGTCGCCCCCTCGTAATTAAGACGACTCCTCGAGCAGACGACTCGACCATACACTCGACCCAAAGCTCACTCGACTATCAGGTCGGCAAATCATAATGATGACTCGTAGATCAACCCGTCTCGACTAAAGGGATGAGATCTGACCAAACTCACTTCAGATGTCAATCGACACAACAATATTGATCAGTCCCATCAAGATCCTCATTCTGACAAACCTCGTGCCCAAGCCGCTTACTCTGCTTACAAGTCACTTCCCAAAGATTGCCATGATACTCTCCTGTGCACGAGTGACTTCTCCTCCAATCGCCAGCCACCATCTGGAGAGAAAAGGACGGCTAAGCAACCGACCTATTCTCTACCCTGCCTCATCTGTCAAATCCAGGATACTGAGAGGACATCTCTCTCATATATTCGAATGACTTCCCTTCCAATCGTCAGCCGACATCTGGAAGGAGAAGGATGACTCAGCAGCTCTACTACTCACCTCTCAGCCACCTCCTGTGTATAGTCAAAGCCGAGGGTCAACCACTCAGAGGCAAGGGACTATAAAAGGAGGAGAAAAGAGGAACCCAAGGGGTAAGTTTTTTGGGGGGAACTTCTTCACAAAAACAAGGAACCTACCTTGGTTAAAAAAGAACTAATAAAACTCCCAAAAGAGTATGCTCCAAGGACCTCAATTGCCCAAGGACCTTCCCTCAAACCCCGCTCAAGCTCTCAAACTGACTTAACCGTCAGAGGTACCACGAGGGAAACGGTCCCCGCCCTCCCAAGAGTTTCTTCTTGTTTGTGCAGAAAGATCAGGAATTCCAGTCGAAGGGTCGGGGCATAAAGTCGAAGGAGGAGTCGGCCCCAACATTCATCCTCTCCATTCTTCTCAGCGCCGCCAGGATCGAAACTACATCCTATGGCGGAGACCCCTCATCGACTGTTTGTCAACAAGCATCAATATATATGCTAGCTAGAAACTGAAAGTTTTTTGATTTTGGAGAAAATAACTTGTAAGTTTTAAAAATTACAATAACACTCCTAAAAATTCAAAATTTAAAGAAAACACATTGGAAATAACAACCCCGTTTCCTTAGAAAGTAATCATTTTAAGTGACACCTACAACAAATATGATGCATTGGGACTGTAATTTAGAAATATGAAGATTCAAGGGTGCAATTAGAATTAACAAAAGTATGGAGGCCGAATATGACAAAAACCCTTTGCATTGTTACGGGTACGACACCGTCAGTAGCCCAAGGGCAATATCGTCAAATGAAGCAGACTGCATTAAATTCCCGCTCTGTTTATCTGTTCCTCTGTTCAATTACAACAAAATTAGGGTTTTATTGTTATCAATAAATCTATAAGCCACTGCACAATATCTATCTTATTTTGGTGATTTCCTAGGGTTTTCACGATCCTAACCCCGAACTTCTTTGTATTTGAGTAAACAATCTGTAGAATTTACTTCAAAGTTCTGTTCTTTTTGAATGATCTCATAGGTCTCTGTGATTTTAGCCCTAGTTTTTGTGAAAATGTCAGCTTTCAGTTGCCTTTCTACTGTTTACCCTTCTTCCAGTGCCTGCAAGTACTTGAATCGGGCGAAAAAGCCCATGAATCACTCGCTTTTAGCTCAAATTAGAGGAGAGGAGAAGAAAAATAAAAGAAAATTGATAATTTCTCCAAGCTCAGCTGTTCGTGGATTAGGCGGAAGTTCGAGGCTCCCATCGGTATCGATTTACGACGTGAGTCACATTTTATGATGTCATCGGTGTTTGAATTAGATTTTAGTAATTAATGTATGATTTTGTTGTTATGTAGTTGATCGAATCATTGATAAATGGGGTGAATTTATCTGAAGAAGAGGCTGAGGCTTCTCTTGATCTTTTACTCAATGAAGCTGATCAGGCATTAATCAGTGCTTTCCTTGTTCTGCTGACGGCCAAAGGAGAGACATTTGAGGAGGTATTTACTTGCATTTCCTTCGAACTTTCCACTTTTGGGATAGACTGGGTTCCAGGTTTATTAACCAGTGAATTTTGATGTACATTTTGTGAAATTTCCCCTTTTGGGACATATTACCCTATTACATTTCTGCCAATTACCACAAAACAAACGTTTCATCATTTTCTTACTATATTTAGGGTTATAAGTCATTTGTGGCGATATTAGTTTGAATATTAAATATATGCGCATTCAGTTTTGCAGAATAAAAACTGGTTCTGTGCTCTTTCTAGTGTTACACATCAGCTTTATTCTTGTAGATGATTAATATTTCTTTTCACCATAGTTATAATGCAAATGAATGATCATACGTGGGAGTGTGCTCACAAATTCTGTTTTCTTAAAAGAAAACTCACAAATTCTTTTAAGCTTATTTATGCTTGGCTTGTCTATTCTTCTGAAACCTCATGTCAAGTTTAGCTACTCATTCTCACATCACTTATCCAAAGCATTCCACATGCTCATTTACAGTTTTGATTCACATAAATTATTTAGGTCAATGCTATTAGGTAGAGGAACACACATAAAGGGTAAGAGTTTTTGTATGAAATTCATAAACTCTTTTTCTTATAGATTGTGGGACTGGCAAGGGCCATGATCAAATGCTGTAGGAAAGTTGAAGGTGTAGCTGATGCAGTTGACATCGTTGGAACGGGTGGTGACGGTGCAAATACAGTCAATATCTCAACTGGCGCGTCGATTCTTGCTGCTGCAGCTGGTGCAAAAGTCGCAAAGGTGAATTTTTTTGCTTGAACAGATTATTAGTGGGGCCTTCAGCAATGTGCTATGATGGTGTCTGCGTGTTTTCTTGCAGCAAGGAAATCGCTCTAGCTCTTCAGCATGTGGAAGTGCAGATGTATTGGAGGCATTGGGTGTAAATATTGACCTGGACCCTCTGGTTAGTACCTCAATATTAGCTAATAATATTTTATTATTATTTATTATTTATTTTTTATTTTTATTGTTATCTCTTTTTGCTGCTTCACGCATAATATAAACCTCTGTCAGTTTTATCCAAGAGCCAAGTGGCTCTACTTAGATGAATAAAGTGTATCATTTTAGAGTTTTGATGTAGTAGTGCGGGCTTTGTATGCTCCTACACTAGTCTGAGCCTGGTACATAATTTGAGTCATTAATTGAGACCACCATACTGTGAATCTTAAAAGAAAATCAGAAAAACATCCAGTATCTGATCCACATAGAGGGCATGCAAAGTGCAGGGATTCTAGGAACAGATTAAAGACAAAATTACATTGCTTAACTCTCCCTACAACTTCGGAAATTTGGTGTGATGACATGAACTTTGACGGTTCCTACAATAACATAGAGAATCGTTGACATCTACAAACTTACAGTGAAACTTAAAAGGGCACAGTAGATGTTATTCCACTGGGGGGGGGGAATTCGATATCAGTAATAGTTAATGTTCAGTCCTAACTAGTTCAACTTCAATTACTTCTTGATAAAATATCTACATGTTTATACAGCCTGTAGGGTAATTATTTACTTTTGTATAGGGGTAAAGGTGCCTCCTTTTACCTTAAAAGCTGTTTGTACGTACATATGAAGAACTATGTCCTTCAATGTGATATCTGCAAACACATGCATTGAACTTCATGTGCATATAAATGAATTAATTAATATAGTTCTAAGTACTTACTCAATTTCATTCTTAACAAAACAAGGAGGTGAAACACTGCATCAAGGAAACAAGCATCGGTTTCATGATGTCTCCTCAGTACCATCCATCGATGAAAATTGTTGCTCCTGTGAGGAAAAGGCTTAAAGTGAAGACAGTTTTTAATATTTTAGGTCCAATGCTAAATCCAGCACAAGTACCTTTTGCTGTTGTTGGCGTTTACAACGAAAACATAGTAAGTGCAAATGTGATTTATATTATTCCATTTGCTTGCTGATTCAATTTCTTTTGAGTATAACCTGTTCCCTGATCATCTAATTTCTTCTGTTTCCCATCATCATGTTGTTCATCAAGGTTTAGGGTTGATTATGCGCATAATGAGTAAGTTATAGTGTTAAAAACTTAAACTTTTGAAGAGAAGATGATGGTGTGGCAAAGAAAAGCATATACATTTTTTCATATCATCGAAATAAACAATATGGATTTGATTCATTAACCACTCATTAGAGGTACACCTAGCATCATCCTACAATCTAAAAAATAACCCCCCCCCCACACCCCCCCACCCACCCACACAAAAAAAAGAACCTTACTTTTTCTGTGTCATCCTCCTTTTATAATGAGTCATTATCACCCACCCACACAAAAAAAAGAACCTTACTTTTTCTGTGTCATCCTCCTTTTATAATGAGTCATTATAACACGACTCAGTAACTAGTATTGGAAAATGGAAACTAGTGGTAGGCAAATCATTAGTTGTTATTATACTTTTACCTAGCAGGGTTTTTGTGTTGATGTTTTTAAAAAAAAAAATGCTCTTGCTTATGGCTGAAGATGAAGGGTATTCTTTTTAATAAAGTTTGTCAATAGCTGCGAAGTGAGAAATAAATTTAGACATTTTTTCCTTTCCAGACTTAAATAATCTCGAGTAATATTGTTTAAACATGGAAGAGACTCAATTCGGTGCACTTGTTTCTTTATTAACATACGGGTTTCTTGATGTAAAGTGGCATTCTCTTTTTCATTAAGAAACTTTATTGGAATACTTTTCTGATTAGGTCATGAAAATGGCTAAAGCACTGCAGCGGTTTGGAATGCAGAGGGCTCTGGTAGTTCATTCAGAGGGGTTAGATGAGATAAGTCCACTTGGTATGGACATTATGTAATTTCCCCCATTATCTTGTACGCCTCATAATAATTTTCTAAGACGTTTTTCTATTCTGTAATCTTTTCTCTACGAACTGTAACCTGAGCAGGGCCTGGATATCTTCTCGATGTTACTCAAGAAAAGATTGAAAAGTTCCATTATGATCCCTGTATGAACCATTTTAGCCATTCATTTTCATCAGTATTCGCTCTCCTAAACCTATCCATTTCCTTTGTTAGAAAATTTTGGCGAGCTAACTACACATTCATGTGACAGTGGATTTTGGTTTTCCTCGTTGCACTCTAGCAAGTCTAAAAGGTGGAGGTCCAAATTTTAATGCAGAAGTTCTAAGAAATGTCCTGTCTGGTGAGAAAGGACCAGTTGCAGATGCTTTAGTACGTATTTTTCATTCTTTTCCACCTCAGTAATCTAGGAATTGTCTTCTTTAGTTTCAGTTGAAACGCATGCTTTTTTCCGAAGAATTGAAGCACATATTCATACTACAGTATTGCATTTTACGATCATTAATCCTTTTGTTTTCTAACCTACCAGGTCCTAAATGCAGCAGCTGCTCTTCTGGTGAGTGGTAAAGTTAACAGCTTAGCAGAAGGAGTGATGCTGGCTCGAGAAACACATTTGTCCGGAAAAGGCGCCTCTACTCTGGATTCATGGATCAGTATCTCCAATGTAAGTAGCAAGTATTCAATGGAATCAATAATATTACTTTCTGAAAATTGAGACCTCGTTTTCGAGAGACTGAAAATTGGGAGTCATGTTCACTTCCGTGTGTGAATTTGTCAAATTTCATCATTCCCTGTTTCCTCATGTTTGTATCTAATGAGCTCATCACTGCAGCAACTAAGAAAAGGAGCAAGCGCTGCAATTTGAAATGGCCGAAGTTGAAGTGCACTGCATTTTGATTCCTTAGAGAAACGCTGCTGTTGCTAGTATTGTTGTTGTTGCCTTAACGCATTGACACTTCAAATCTATTCTTAAATGACTTTTACCGCACGCTGTTATTTGCATTGTTTTCCTGTCATTTATATTTAAGGTCGTTAATATGTTGAAGCGCAGACTGATGGGTTTTTTGCATCTTTGGATATGCATGTTCGAGCATTCTTTTATTTTTAAAGAATAAAATTTCTAGGGAAGTTATACATCAAATAAAATCTTTTAATATGCAATAATGTGTAAATTGCTCTTAATCAACTTATTTTGATTTTTTTTAAATCGTTTATATTAACATTATTAAAATATTTTTCATACATTACTTGGAATGTCAAAGATGGAAGAGGTGGGAAGAGAGAGGCATTATAATTTTAACGGAATATTTCAGTTTCTTAATAAAAGTTCGTATGATGGGCAAAATAAAGGGATAACCGGCAGCTCAGATATGGTTACGATAATTTGAGGGGTAATTTTAAATGCATGTGATGTCCGAGGCATATATGAAAGTAAAAGAAAAAATTCGTTGAAGAACTCTATTGTAATCAAAATTGACAAATTTGTTGAAATTCGAAGGCAAAGTTTCATGCAGACAATTTACGTTTTCTTCAACTAGATTGAAACTTTAACGCAAATACAAAATTAGTTGAAGAACTCTATTGTAATCAAAGTAATCGTGGAGAAGGATCGAGGAAAGGAGACTAATTATCAGCGAGGCCCTCAATGGCCTCCTCTGCTCTTAAATTTGCCACCGGCCGTTGTTCGAATAATTTCCCGCCAAGCAATTTTCAAAAAGTTGGTTGATTTTTTATAACTAAATATAGAAATTGGTGCGTATTTTCTAACTAAATTTAAGAATTGGTTTTTATAGAGAAAAAAAATGTCCTTTAGAGCATGTCGAGAGACAAGTGATTTGATATACCAATGCCCCTAACGTGTGTTGAGAACTAATTTAGGGTCGAAAGGCCTCGTACAAAATCGGTGCCAAACTTGGGGGCAAAACAAAATTTTCCACATAAAAATATGCATAAACCCCACTTAGATTTCCGCATGCTCGTCTCCATGTGGGGGGTGGCTGAGGAACAAAACCGATCCAACCCACTCACATAAAGCGAAAAAAAAATAAAAAAAAGTTAAAACGAAAAAGATGTTGAAAAGTATGCATCACAAATCTTTACCTCCTATTTGTCCCTCCCCACTACACTGAAGAGCATGCAACCCACATCCAAATAAAAACAAATTACGGAACCCTCGTCCTCGGTCGCTTTCCAACTAAAAAAACCGCCCACTTCTTCGCAAGTGACCAACATGTTGCACATAATAATAGAGCAGGAAACGTTCTCAGTCTTTGTTTATATTGCAACCATTTTCAATGGTGCTTGTTTGTTTCGATTCGGAAAGGGCGGAAACATCATTTCTAAAAACGAACTGACGCGCTCCCTAGAAAAGTTAACCCGTTTTCTGAAAAAGGTAGAAAACTAGTGAAAATGGTGGGAAATAGCCATTCCAGAGCATTTCGGGTTGAAATGAGTGAAAATGGTAAAAGGCAATGATTTATGCATTAAAGCAGTAGTGTAGGTAAATGATTGTGCAAGCTTTTTGCCAACCTACTTCTTTCACCCTCCTTTTCAACAAGCTGGTGGTTTCTTGTTTTGTGAAAACTCATCCAAACATTGGATTTGCAAGAAATGGCCTTTCACGCACGGATAAAATGTGAAACAAACGAAAAAGTGAAGAAAACTCAGATTTCTAGGAAATGTCACCGGAAATGGCCAAAAAACGCTTTCTGCAATGGAAAAGGGATTTCATTTTTTTTTTATGGAAAATGAAACAACCAGCCCTCGAATCTGCACTCCCTATTGAAGAACCTCGCTATGTCTCCAAAATTATTTAGATAATCAAGGATATAGTCAAAGGAAAAGTAATCAGCAAGGTGTTAGCAAACTAATGACATAAACATTACTTATCATGAATATAAGCTTCATTAAGATCTTGGGATGACTCTCGAATTTACATCAGGAACGAGCAATGGCTGTCAATGTACTTTTCAGGCAACAAATGCTCTTGTTTACCTGCAAATACCTTACTGATATTAGTAGAGGAAAGAAAGAATACATAGCAAGTCGAGCTCAAATTAAAAATAAAATAAAATAAATAAAATAAGAAGTGCAGATAATGAACACATATTAGAAAATATAGACATTTCACTTGCTAGCCACTTGAATAAGAAACGAAATACAGGATTGACACAGTTGAACTTTGAGTAAGCTGATTGACATTGAGCATCTTCAACCTTAATATAAGACTAAATGCTCCTCAATTTTCTGTCAGGAAATCCCAAATGCTTATAAAATTACATAACAATATAGAGAATATGCAAACACCACCAAACTGAGGATAAAATAGCAAAAAACTTCTTAGTATGGTTGGAAGAGCCCACACATTCATCTCTGCAATCCCAATCATTGCAAGTCAGATACAAAAACAAGGCAAAATGCAACCAAGTAAATCTAACATTCTGATATTTTTCCAGATAAAGAAAGAAAAACATAAGGAAGGAAACAGAGCTATCACTTCAACATTCTTTATTCTTACTTTTAGATACCCATGATTCGAGTGTCATAAGTCTCATAAAGCCTTTGGCCATTTTATCTATTAACTTAGCAAAACAACATAACAACATACAATTCAGTTGATTAATCATTTAGAAGAAGCCCTTTTGTCATATCAGAATGTATAAAATAATATTTTAGAAAGTTTGGAACATTCCTCTTCTTTGTCACATTACAACAATTTCCAATGTTCTTATTCTTAAAAACATTGAAATATATGAGCATGCCAATTTCATCTCCATCTACGTTTTAGTTGCACTTTCTAAATAAAGAAAGGAAAAAAGAAAAAGTAGGAAACAGAACTTGTATATTTCCAAACCTCCCTACTTTTAAGATTCCCATGCTTCATAAGGCTTTAGGCCATTTCATCTGGGAACCTAGCTAAACAGCATAACACTCAATTAACGATTAAAAGGCAGCCTTTTTTATCAGAGCAGAAATATAAGCCTCTATTTGAGGCAGATTGCAAAAAGGTTGAGGACAATCCTGTCATTTTATCTCTGCATGTTACTATTTATACAATGTGTAACCACCTTACAAAGAAGAGCTACAGCTAAAGACCTTTAAGAGCTTAAGCTTAACATGAAGAGGGAGAGAAGCTTCGTCTTGCTTATTACTTTAGCTCTTTTGCTGTCCATTTTTAGCAATGGGCATCAAAATGGAGCTCAAAAACATTCGAAGCATATAAAGGAAAAAGATCATAACAGCAATTCTACCCATTATGATATCCGGACATTTGGAGCTGTGGGTGATGGAGTTTCGGATGATTCAGAGGTATGATAATTCTATATGAACTTCTAAAATTGTACCAATTTTTGTTTTACGAACAATTTCAAACATCTACATGCACAAGTACTTCAATGCAACTGATATATATTGACAGGCACTTATAGAAGCATGGAAAGCAGCATGTAAGGTATATGGAGCAACTGTGGAAATTCCATCAGGATTAAATTTTCTACTAAGACCAGTTACTCTTCAGGGTCCTTGTATGCCTCACCTTATTCTTCAGGTTCTGTTATCTCCTTTAGTTTCATCGATTACTCATGTTAGTTATTTCTCTAACTACTAAAAGTTTGCTTGATGTATCTTCAAGTCTTCATATTTCTCTCGCTGCATGAACCATTTGAGAGTAATCGTTCTGCAAATATCACCAAAGCTGCTGCATATATTCCTGCATAAAACTTAAGAGATTTCAGATGAATGTATGAGATTTAAAGTATCATACGCTCAAGTACGTAACAGTGTATACTCATATAAGCTTATAATAAAAGATATGATGAAGTGCATATTGGCCAGAATTCCTCAACAAATGTGTAAGTTGTAAATGACACATACTCAAATACCAAACAAAATAGTGTAAATGCAAATATATCACCCAAAAAAATCTAGGAAAAGCTTTGTAGTCACTCGTCTATTAATTAACTTATTTCATCATCAGATTGATGGAACTCTCTTGGCACCTCCAAGTGTAGCTTCCTGGTCCAAGTCCAGTCTCTTCCAATGGATTAACTTGAAGTGGGTCAGTGACTTCACAATTCAAGGGAACGGTACTCTCGATGGGCAGGGCTCTTCATGGTGGAGTCTCTCTGCAACTCCTCAAAGCACCAATGTATGTGAAATATTATCTAAAGCTAATATACTAAAATTTAATGAATATTTGATCCAATTGTTTAAAACTGTCAAATTCTAATGCAGTTTCAACTTACATCTATTTCCATATGCATATGAAATTATATCTAGATTTACTTATCTTCCTAAAATGTTTGTCTTGTTTATCTGCAGAAAGAAACAACAAGCTCACCATTAGAGATGAGACCAACAGTATGGAATCCTTCTTCAGTTTCTTCTCATTGGTATCAACACTTCTCATTTTGCCAAAATTTGTTTATTGTTTTAGGTACTCAGATTTTATGCAAGCTGCAATATTATGGTTCGCAATATCCATATCATCAATAGTCCTCTGTGTCACCTAAAATTTGATAGTTCAAGGGGGGTTAAAGTAAGTAACATCATGATCTCTTCCCCAAAAGACAGCCCAAACACCGACGGTATACATCTCCAAAACACTCGTGATGTGGAGATCAAGCATTCCAACATTGGTTGTGGTAAGGCTTAACACATTTAAATAGAGAGAGATTTCTTTAAGTAGCATATATAAACTCTTTTTATATGTCTGCAAAAAAAATTCAGGTGATGATTGTGTATCTATACAAACTGGCTGTGCCAATGTCAACATACATCATCTTGATTGCAGCCCTAGCCATGGAATCAGGTGAACAAAGAAACCATTTCTTAAACTTTATTAATATGATTTTCACATGCACAATCAGATCCAACAGTCCTTTTTTCTGTGTGTGCGTGCGCATGATCTACAAAACTTAAGGGGGTTAAGTGACATTTTCAAACTTAAGGAGGGTTATTTCGACAACGACCAAACTTAGAAGGGTTTGTGAAATTTACCCTTTAATAATTAAGGATCACGGTTCAAGAATCTTATCTGAAAAATCAGAATCTGAAACATGAGAGCAAAGTACAGCAATCTAAATTGACCCACTAATACATTAAGTTTGTTGACAGCTTAGGAAGTCTTGGGAAAGGCAGCAGCCTGGCTTGTGTCTCCAATGTTTCTGTCAATACCATCACAGTGCAAAATGCACTATCTGGTGTTCGTATCAAAACATGGCAGGTAATAGCAATAAGATTGACATCAAACTATCAAAACTACTGCTTATTCAATTAAACAATGAAAAAATTTCTGTCACAGGGAGGTAAAGGGTCAGTCAAGAACGCAACTTTCTCCAATATTCGAGTCTCAGATGTTGAAATTCCTATTGTAATCGATCAATACTACTGCAACAAAAGGTCGTGCAAGAACAAAACAGAAGCAGTGGCAATATCTGATGTCACTTATAAAGGAATTACAGGAACATATACGTATAAACCCTTGTCTATAGCCTGCAGTGATAGCTTGCCATGCACTGATTTAAGTCTAATTGATGTCCAGTTGTCGCCATATTATGAGTCGAGGAGTCACCAGGAGGCTTTCTGTTGGAAATCCTATGGAGAGGCGCAGGGCTCTCTTGAGCCCTCAGGTGTCAGTTGTTTGAGGAAGAACAGTAAGGTAATTAGGGCCCTAACAAAGTCGTATAAGTATACTTGCTAAGGGATTAAGGACTCTAAACTCTGTAACTGCATGCTTCCCTTTTAAATTTTGTATTGTGAGAAGGAGATGAACTATTTACACGTTTGGTATTATGAGTGATCAGTGTGCTCCTTAAGAGCAATTTCAAGTAGACATTTTGCATATTCCTTAAGAGCAATTTCAAGTAGACATTTTGCATATTTCGCCTGTCCATAATCTGTGTGTGTGCAGTGTGCATGTGCATGTGCATGTGCAATGAAAACAATGAAAATCCTAAAGTTGGCACCAAAAAATGAGAGGTATGAAAGCAAAGTAATTGCCGTTAATCATTACATGCATAGATCATTGCGAATAATTCATAATATACTAAGCAAAGAAAACTCCTTGATTACTCCATTTTAGGAAAATATGCTGAATTATGCATGGAAGAGGAATCATTTAATAAAATTGTATTTACGTGGAAAGGTCGCATTAAGTCACAATGATAGGGTGAGAAGTGAGAACCCAAAAGCAATTCTAATGGAAAGAGTAAACATTTACAAAGATTTATAGCAAATTATCACAAAACTTACTTACCATTGAATGTTTCAGCTTCGGCCTCTTTTGCTTTATACTAAGTTTATCCCAGGTTGCTCGTCATTGAAGTCATAAGAGATGAGAAAAGATGAAAGACCCTCTTTTTCATGTCAACTTCTTCCTCCTTTGAAAACACAGATATATCCTTCTTAAAATTAGTCTTCACAACCAAATCAACAATATATTTCACAGATACATTCACCCAAACAAACGCATGGCCCCATTGGAATAAATAACTATATCCAGAGACCACAAGCCCTGGAAACAATCTATTATTATGCATCAATCTATCATCAACTTGCTGGAAAAGCAATAAAGTTTCAAACTTTAGCCCATTCCCTACCAATCTAGTGATGGGTACAGTGTACATGACCATCAATTAGTATAGATTTCTCTCAAAATATTCCAGAGTTTCTCCCAAAATACTCTCACCTCTGTCAGAATGTCAAGCTAATAATGCTAATCGAAATGCAAGTTCCACATTTGACCGAATCTTTCCGCAATAAAAATTGAATGAACATTTATTCACCTACTCAAGTAGTAACTAGAAATGATTTGTCGCAAATAAAACATAGAAGATTTCATCCAAGTTCTCTCCATCAGTAAATCAAATGATGCTGGACATTTCAGAATTGAAATGCATTTTAAATGTATACCTCATAATTATTAGTAATCTCAACATATTCTTACATCAAAAAACAAAGTGAAAAATTAAAGAAAGATGACTCATGTATGCAAGATTCATTAGTCACCTCATGCTTGTACAAATTTTCACCCTTGGAGGAAAAATAAGTTATAAAAGAAGGTGAGTTTTTGCATCATTAGTAACCTCAATGTATTTTTACATCAAGAAATAAAAAAGAGACAAATGAAAAAGAAGACTAACTAAAGAGACAAATGAAAAAGAAGGCTAACTCATGGGTGCAAGATCCAATATTTGACATCTCCACATACTATTTCCCATTCCCTTCAATTTCAAATTTCAGCTCCATACGTAAAGGATGCTTAGGATTCAGGAATGGCTTGTGAAGAAGGAATAAACCTCATCAGGAAGCTTGAGAGAGACCAGATGCAGATGATTCCAAGAATTTGGAGGACAGTGAGTAAAGTACCTAAGGAGCTGTTTATAGCCAAGGTCTGCGACGTAGTTTCAGCTCCTCTTACTGAAAAAGAGAGCGCAGTTACCAATTGTGCTGCTCTGTTCAATTGATGCAATCTATACACCTGAAAAAATGGAGAAAAATTAACCTCATCCAATCTATACACTCAAGGGGCAAAATTCCCGGATATTGAACTTGGGAATTTGAAATTCTACATTCGGAATCTTCCTCGATATGTACATTCAAAAATAAATTGTTATCATCATAAATAAATAAATAAATTGTTGGAGATTTTTATCTAAGATGATGCTAGGAGAGCAATATGAATACCCAATGTATAAAATACTGACATAGTGAGCATGAGCGCACCTGAAAGATTACAGGAACGACTGGCCAAGCAGGTGATTTTTGATACCGTGTATATCGCTCAAATGCAAACTGTACAATTAGACCTACTAAATAAGGTGCAAGAGTAGCTGATGCTGCCGGTCCAGTCCAAGGCCAAACCATTCCCATAGTAAGAAGAGGAATTATTAGGCTCAGCACCAAGGTTGCAACAGATGATATTCGAAGTCCAAAGTGAAATTTTGTCAAATCTTTATTACTGGGTTGATTTTGTTGTAGTGGTCTCCAGATGTGGTCTACCATAAGAAGAAATATTGCAACTCCACCATAAAAAAGGACTTCTGTAAAGAACAATATGAGAAAATCTGCAGGGAGAATAAACAAGTTTCAGTACGATAATGTCTTATGCTTTCCCTGGGATGCAAGAGCATCCAAGTATTAAGCCATTAGATCAAAAAAATCCACACATGAGTTAATGTTACATACACAAAGGAGGAAAGACCTATAGCGTCAGGCTGAATTTAAGAATGAATATGAAATTGTTACAGTATAGTAAATAGTTTAGTAAAAGAGGTGCAGTCAAGTTAGCTTTTCAAATCTTAATGTGCTACCCAAGCACGACGCATAAATATGTGCTAATGTAACACAGAAGTTGATTGATGCAAAAAAAATCTTAATATACCAAAAAAGTACTCTATCTAAAAGAACATAGAGCATTTTACCTGTTAAAAGTGAGTCCTCCAACACAGTAGAGAGTATTCTCCGTAAATAAAGTGATGGCAAAACCAAGAAAGCTACGAGGACACTGGGACCAACAAACCAAAAGACCTTTGATCTTTCTTTCCCTGTACTAGTTTCAAGAATTTCCTCTTGCCTTTGACATGGAAGACCATGAAATGAGATGAACCCTGGCTTTCCAGCAGTTCTTCCACTAAGAAAATGTGAACTACTACTTGGACTGTCATCTTCAGCAACATGATTCAAAGTTTCTGGCTCTAGCTCTAGTGACTCCAAATTGAGTTCACTTTCTGATGACTGACCTTCAGAAGCAACATATGTGACAAACTGACTTTTTCGAAACTCTGCTTTTGAGTTATTGACACAAAGTGTTACCCTGCCTGGTTTTCCTTCAAATTAATAAGAAACGTCTCATAAGAACTTACGTAGATTACTGAAGAAACAAGTTGCTCACATATCACTAGCCTAAGAGAGAAAGAAACATACTCCAGACATCCTTTACCATTGGCCTCTCATATCTCCATCCTTCAGAATATCTCCATGAGGTAAACTGAGAGCAAAAAATAATTAAGCTAGAATCATGTCTAAAATAATGTCTTTGCAGTAGCCTAGTAGGATCATTTTGACACTACTATCGGTTACATATTCTAAGAAATTGATGGAAAGAGAAATATACTAAAACAAGCATGTAGGTATTGAGCATAGACTATAAACAACCTACATGATGCCAACTAGGAACTACGAGAAATTTAATGCCATTTTGGATTAACCTTTCAACTTAATTTGTATTTTTTTAAGGAGTACTACTTGCAAAATGATGCACCCAATTCTTAGAATAATGAGTTCAAAGAGTGATCACATAATTCACTTCATATCTCTAATAGTGTTACATGTCAATATGACCCCTAATGTTTAATGCGTCCGTATTTGTTGGTCAGAAATGACTGCACCGAAAGCTTCAGCCTGACATTTTTTTGACAAAGAAAAGGAGCGGGCCCCACCTATTCTCAATCACCGAAAGAGACAAAGTTTTTTCTTCTTTGTCAAAAGCCTCCAGCCACCGAAAGCATCAGAGTAGCCGAAAGGAGGCAGCAAATTTTGAAATTGAAGAAAAGCAAGAGTTGAATGAGGAAAAGGTAGGTGGGTCCCACCACGGGTGGGCCCTACCGTGGGCCCCACCACTAATAAAATATTGATGCATAATATTTTTCCAAACACTATAAATAGACCTCAAACTCTTAAGGAAAATCTTATCCCAGAAACAACTCCTCTTATAGAAGAGTAAGAGAGAGAAAAGAAAGGCTTAGAGAAAAGTCCTTGTGAGAGAAAATTGTGAGCAATTTTCAGAGTGAGATTGAGTTGTGAGTTTGAGTGTGAAAAACTTTGAGAGTGGTTTGTAAAATTTTCTCCTCTTTAGTGAAAGATCTGCAGCAGCCCGTGAACGTAGGCAAGTTTGTGCCGAACCACGTAAATCTTGTGTGTCCTCCTTTTTGCGTATTTATTTCGCTTTCTCTTAAATCTAGTAATAGGGGACTGAGAGTAATTTCTCAACAACTGGTATCAGAGCTCTGGTTGTAACTTCTGTTAATTTTTCTACAAGATTACTATTCACATGAATAGTAAATTTCGTGAATAGTGAAATTTTGTCGGTGATACTTCTTCATTGACAGTAGTGTTCTAATACACGGTGGTTCGCAGAAATTGTCAAAAATAATCTAGAGGAAGCCAGATTCGAGTGGGAGCGATGGCTGCAGATGAAGGGAATGTGAAAATTGAAAAGTTCGATGGTGCGAACTTTGACTTTTGAAAGATGCAGATTGAAGATCATCTGTACCAGAAGAAGCTGTATCAACCTCTCTCAGGAAGTAAGCCAGATGATATGAATGATGAAGAGTGGGCTCTTCTTGACAGACAAGCCCTTGGAGTTATCCGATTGACGTTATCCCGAAATGTTGCTTTTAACATAGCAAAGGAAAAGACCACGGCGGGTCTTATGACGGCTCTCTGCAGCATGTATGAGAAGCCATCTGCCTCAAACAAAGTTCACTCAATGATGCGGCTATTCAATTTGCGGATGACAGAAGGCGCATCGGTAGCTCAACATCTCAATGAACTCAACATAGTCACAATCCAGTTGAGTTCAGTTGGGATTGAGTTTGATGAGGAAGTTCGAGCGTTGATTCTTTTGTCTTCCCTATCAGAAAGCTGGAACGCTACAGTCACGACTGTGAGTAGCTCATCGGGAAGCAACAAGTTAAAGTTCGATGACGTTCGTGATCTGGTTCTTAGTGAAGAAATTTGGCGGAGAGAATCAGGTGAAGCTTCAACCTCCTCAGCTTTACACACGGAGTCTAGGGGAAGAACTTCAAAAAGAAGTTCAAATCACGGCAGATCAAAATCTAGAAGGAGCAAATCTAGATCAGGAAAGAAAGACTTCAAGTGCTACAATTGTGACAAGAAGGATCATTTCAAGAGGGAGTGTCGGGCACCAAAAAAAATACCGACGCACAGGAGTCTGCCAACGTGACCGAGGAAGGAGGTGATGCTATGATTCTAAGCGTCAACAGTCCGATTGAATCATGGATTCTTGATTCAGGGGCATCCTTCCACTCCACCCCATGTTGAGAAATCATGAAGAACTACGTCAGCGGTGATTCGGAAAGGTACATCTAGCAGATGATGAAACCTTGAAGATTGTTGGCAAGGTAGACATCCGATTAAAATTATCAAATCAGACCACATGGAAGTTGCAATGAGTGAGACATATTCCTGGTCTTAGAAGAAATTTGATCTCTGTGGGACAGCTTGATGGAGAGGGTTATTGTACAACCTTCTCGGGTCATAAATGGAAGATTACCAAAGGAGCACTCGTCATTGCTTGAGGTAAAAAAAATGATACTCTCTATATAACCTTTAACTTAGAAAATATCATTACAGTAACAGATGCAAAAAAAAATCAAGCATATGGTACCAAAGGCTTGGTCATATGAGCGAGAAAGGGATGAAGACACTTCTGTCAAGGGAAGCTGTCGGATCTGAAGAATGTAGATGTCGGCCTATGCGAGGATTGTATCTTTGGCAAACAGAAGAAAGTCAGTTTTGCAAAGATTGACAAGACACCCAAGACAGAAAGGTTAGAATTGGTTCATACCGACGTATGGGGACCATCTCCAGTTTTATCTCTTGCAGGCTCATTGTACTATGTCACCTTCATTGATGATTCTACAAGGAAGGTATGGGTCTATTTTCTAAAGAAGAAATCAGAAGTCTTTGATACCTTCAGAAAATGGAAGACCATGGTAGAAAATAAAATCGGTCTGAAGATAAAACGGTTAAGGTCAGACAACGGAAGGGAGTACAAAGACAGTAGATTCAAAGAATTTTACGCAAATAACGGAATCAAGATGGAGAAAACAGTTCCCATGACACCGTAGCAGAATGGCGTAGCGAAGCGTATGAACAGAACTTTGAATGAACGTGCCAGAAGTATGAGGTTACATGCCGGCTTGCCCAAGTTTCTATGGGCTGCAGCTATCAATACCGCAGCCTACCTAATCAACCGTGGACCCTTAGTTCCCTTGGATGGTGGAATACCGGAAGAAGTTTAGAGCAGAAAAGAAATAAACCTTTCACATTTAAGAATCTTTGGTTGTATCTCTTATGTACACATAGATTCTGCTGAAAGAAGTAAACTTGATGTCAAATCTAACAAATGTGTTTTTGTTGGTTATGGTGGTGATGAGTTTGGTTACCGATTTTGGAACTATAAAAATCGGAAGATCATCAGAAGCAGAGATGTCATATTCAATGAGAATGTGATGTACAAAGACAGATCAACTGCAGAATCAAGTAGCTCCAGTACAAAAGCCGAAACAAAGGAATTTGCTGAATTTGAGGAGATTTCTGAAAAGAATGTTCAGATTAGCCAAAAGGATGGTCCACTGCATGTACAGCGCATTCCGCAAATGGGACCTACCTACCTTTTCCTCATTCGACTCTTGCTTTTCTTCAATTTCAAAATTTGCTGCCTCCTTTCGGCTAGTCTGATGCTTTCGGTGGCTGGAGGCTTTTGACAAAAAAGAAAAAAGTTTGTCTCTTTCGGTGATTAAGAATAGGTGGGGCCCGCTCCTTTTCTTTGTCAAAAAAATGTCAGGCTGAAGCTTTCGGTGTAGTCATTTCTGACCAACAATCTCCCACTTGAAGACTGATTTTAATCTGTCTTCATATCTTAATCTATGCAGCAGCTCTTTCCCGATCTTGTTATTGTCTATGAAGCACAGACACGCATAACATGAAGCCGTGTCGTGTCGTGCCCGTGTCGGACACACGTGTCGAACACACGTATCCTATGTATTTTTTAGGATTTGCCTCGTGTCGGCGTGTCGGATGGCCGTGTCGGATCCGTGTCCGTGCAAAATAGGTTATTGTTGCAGGCCAACTGAAGCTGGACACAACTTCAGTTTGTCAGTAGTCACCGTCTTTGTCAGCATGTCTGTCGGATTTTGAGCTCCACTAATCTTTTAAAGCTTCAAAATTCCATCTTCCAGAAATGACCGGATAAAATGATATCGCATTTGTATATGCTTCGTTCTGGAATGAAAAGACGAATCCTTCGTTAGATGAATAGCACTTTAACTGTCGTAATATAAGACATTGTCTTCTTGTTTCTTGCCTAACTCAACGCCCATGCACGACGTGTGGGCATATTTTTCTGTCCGCAGCTATATTAAAAGGATGGTCCACTGCATGTACAGCGCACATGCACGACGTGTGGGCATATTTTTCTGTCCGCAGCTATATTAACCTAGGCATTCATGAAACTCAACGCCCTCTTAGAATATTAACCACGTTCACTCATAAATCTTAAATGATTAGACGGTAAAACTACAATGCAAATCAATGATTAGACGGTAGAACTACAATGCAAATCAACCTATCTGAGATGGTAAAATTTTTTGCAGAAAGTATGTAAATCTTCCCCATATTAGTCTTATTTCATCTCATTATCTTAATTGAAGAAATTTTCTAAACAAACTCATTCATATTTTTTTTCTAAAAATAGACCCCATTGAGTTTTTTTTACAAAAATCGACCCATTTTGTCTTAATCCGGTTTCTAAATAGTTAGGGTTGCCAAACCCCGACTATTTAGTGCATAGAATGTTAGGGTTTAGGGTTATAATTGGGGGTTTACAAACTCTTAAATAATCGGGGTTGGCAACCCGACTATTTAGGAACCGGATTAGGATTAAGATAAAATGGCTCTATTCTTGTAAATAAAACTCAAGAGGGCCTATTTTTAGAAGAAAAAATATGAATGGGTTTATTTAGAAAATTTCTTCTATCTTAATTAGAGTATATAAAACACGTCTAATAATAATAAAGTGATAGGAACGTTAATTCTACAATGACCAATTCCTTTCTACAATTTTGATCGTTCATATCTCTAATAGGCGAAATTTTCATAGATTTTCGATTTATCAATGAAAAGAATAAGCAAAAAAAGACGAAGAAAGGGAATCTTGCCTTCAAATTCTTGCAGATGGAGGGGAAAGAGGTAGAAATAGAAGCCCAAGCCATCTCCTTTACGCTTAAACCCTGATTTTATGAAGATTTGGAGGGGAACTCATTAGGGTTTTGAGGGGATTAAGAAAGACCCATTTGCGGAATTTGAACTTAAAACTTTGCTGGTGAATTTTTAGCAGATATTGTTTGTCATCGGGGTTTTAGCGTTCGGTGGAGAGGCCCATCCAAGCTCAGAGGTGGGCCCGCATGAACCAATCTACACCGTCAGATTGTAGACAAGAGACTTGTACGGTGATAAACCAGATGAGTTAAGGGGCTGTTTGGTTGTTGTTGGTAAAGTTGTGTATTTATGACACAACTTGGAAAGTTGTTGTCCACCTCATCAATTATACTTTTATGTTTTTCTTTGTTTGTTTTTTATTACATTGGAATCATAAATTGCTTGTTTAGTTTGTAAATGTAACTTTAATTGTTTGTTTGGAAAGTGTAAAAAGTGGTCCCTACTCAAATGATCTTATTGGTTGGAATTATTTTTTATTATTTTTTCCTGACTTCAATGTCAGCTTTCTCCTAAAAACATGTCTTTTTCAAAAAATGATTTAAGGACCCAAAATATGGGACCAAGGGAGGGGACAGGTGAGGTGTCCCCTCCCTATTGCATAATGAGTTGGCTATGCCAACTCATGCCAACTCATTATGCAATAGGGAGGGGACACCTCACTTGTCCCCTCCCTTGGTCCCATATTTTGGGTCCCCGTAGCAGCACTCGTCTTTTTTTTATGAAATCACTTTACAAGGCACATCAGCATATGAAATCACTTTACACTATTTTCACCACTACAAACAAACAATTAAAAGTGATGAAAGCTGATATTGGGACCTACTTTTTTACACTTTCCATCCTTTTATATGGTAAAAACATACAACCAAACAGCCCCTATGGCCCTAGTCAAGTCCTCGTTGCGGGAATTATCAATTGATACGGTATTAGATACGGTTCATGTACCTTTTTACGTATGTGTACAGCATAAATTGTTGGCTAGC